CTGCATTTCCCCCTTCGTTTGCCTTCTCTGATAGCTACTGTTACATATAAATTGAAGTTCTGTGCTTTGCAATCATGTAAATTTTACTTTCAGCCTACAGGACTAGGTAGAAAATAATAAATCAGTGAAGAAGAAACTAAAACTACTGAATTAGCACCACTCTACTAATACAGGCTGGTGATAGCAGCCTTGTCTCTTCCGCTTGTCCTGAAAATTCATTTAAGAATTAATATCTGGACTGGTGTGCTGTGAGTTTTTTGTTGGTTTTTTTTGTTTGTTTGTTTAGTTGGGTTTTTTTCCCCTATAACATTGTTGCAGTAGACTGCTGATAAAACCCAAGATCTTTACTAAAGCAACTTGTGCCCTTTCTCCCAGTTGTATAGGAAATGGACTGCCCATTCTTACCCTGAGCCAGGGCCCTGTCATTGTAGTGCTATGCAGATATTTATTAAAATTAGTGCCTCCCACAACAGCTTGCAGCTCTCCCTCAAACAATCAGTCTGGTTAATAAGTGGAATTTGTCTGTGCTTTCACCTACACCAACAAGGCTTCTCTGTCTTGCAGTTCAAACTTAACCACTTAAATTGAGGTAATTTCTTCTAGGCTTTTGTTTCCATGTACTCGCTAAAAATTAGTTTCTAAATCTGACAGTATTAAAAGGTGTATAAGATTTCAGAGTGCTGCATCTAAGATAGTCTTCATTCTCTTCTGGCATAATGTCTTCCCTGCAGCCTGAGGGTCGATGTCTCTTTCCTTTGCCACTTCTTCTCTAAAACTTCTACTGCCTATCTGCACAACACCTAGCAATCAATGAGTGTGTAGCTTTTTTCTTCTTTTTTCTTTTTCTTCCCCAGACCATTACCTTAGCTGACAGGCTTATAGTGATTTCCTTGCCAAAACAAAGACTCCAGAGCAGCAAAATGCTCAGTGTCTCTGATGCCTAATGAAAGATTAAGAATGAGTGAACAACGCACACTGCTCTAAAACATATGTTGCATAATAATATTAGTACATAACTTTATAACAGTCTGGCAATTCTGCAGAAATTCTGTCTCCTGTTCTTAAAGCAATATAAGTGAGCAACACAGTAAGTAAAGAAGCATTGCTAAATCTGTGGATGCTGAGGGCTATCACCTGGGACAACACACCATGCATAGTTTTACATGCCACCTCTAGTTAGAGCTATATAACCTCATTGAAGCTAGAAATATGGGGAGAGAGGAGGCAGAACTCTATCTTTAATGTTGTTTGAGTTAATACAAATGAGGAAGGAAGCTGTTAAGTGCTCTCACCTGCCCAACACTTGGAACATGGTGGAGCAAAAGGTCTTCTGAAAAAGAATTTTCATGCTTATTTGATGTAATGGCCTAAGTGACCTGCTCTAAGCAAAAAAGATACCGTTCTCAGTGACTGTCTCCAACTCAGTGCCTTTGTTCAGATTTGCCTGGTCACGTGCAAAAGAAACAGATGTGACAGCAACTGCTGAATAATCACCCTGAGACAGTCATCTAAAATGGAGATGATTTAAGGATGGAGCTAGCTGCTTTTGCTTTTTATGTGGCCTGTCTTATTTCGGGGCTTGTGCTGCTGGAGGCTTCTTGCACAAAGGATGCCTCTTGCCTTGCTCTTTTTTCCCTATGCTGTAGCCATATATTCTCCAAGTAACTGCTCGCCTCTCCTGCCGTAAGTCTGTGCACAAGTGTGCAGATGTGAAATAACCAGTCAACAGGTGATGTGGTAAGTTGCTGAAAACAGCTCGGGCTTTCCTACACCTATATGGGAAATCTAACCCGTCTTGTGATGCATGTAGGGCAGAGTCTAGAAATATGAAGCCAGAAAAAAAAAAATTACCTCATCTTAATCTGATTTTGTTGGCCGAAGGTAGCTGCTTAGCTACCAGTACTCCTTTCCACGCAAGGGCACTCCCAGCTGCTGTATCTCTGCTGTCTTCTGATACTACTTCCACAAATACAAAGTGTCCCACAGGGCTACTTGGCACAGGACAATGCCTGTGGTTCTGCAGCCAGGCAGGATGTTTCTTTTACCTTATTTATTTTTCCTATCTCTTTACTTTGTATCGAAGCAGATGCTGAAGGAAACTTGGCCTCTGAAGGGCAACTGGAATGTGATTGCAAGTCATTCTGCAACACTGTTGGGACTGAATCTAGGTGACAGCCTTGTCACTTTGTCCCAGCTGTACTGGAGGTCACAGCATCCTATCAGAGTTGTACCTTGCCCACCATAGAAAGCAATGCAGATCATCCAGCTAGGGTGCTCTGGGCTGTTGGCACCCCAAATGCTATTTACTCCTGCCATGCTGCCTCTTTTCAGAGTTGTGAAAATTAGCAAGTTTTCTTCTCCAACCCCAAAAGATGTTTTTTTTCTTCCCCTAAGTCATCTGAGCAGTGTAAACTCGAATTACTACACCGTTACCATGCTAATAGTTCCGTGCATTACATTTTTAGGTATTTGAGAGGTCTCATAAATCCCTGCTAACGCAAATTATATTTAGAAAGTATCTTGTAACATGCTTAGTGGCTGGTCACTTACTTACCTTGTTTCTGCAGCTTTGAAAGACTTCCAGCCTTCTTGTCTGAGCATGAATTTGGCATATTGTGTTCTGATCTCTATATAAATAAGGCCAATATCAATGTTGGTGGTTCAGCTATAAGGTGACTTCCAGGGCATTATACAGCTCTCTTTTTCCCCAGAAACTGGTGTTCTAAAACAATGTGTCCATGTTTGTTTGGTTTTTTTCTTTTTAATCTTCAGCATTGTGTTATCGAGAGCAGCGTGCCAACAGGTCTGAGCAAAACTGCATAATGGAGGTCTGCTTTCCTGAAAACCACCATTGCTGGAAAAGAAGTTTCTATATAAGAATTTCTAGGAGAATTTTAGCACCGTGAATTACGCTGTGGGCGAGTCAAGCAGTAAAGGGGATCTTGGCATATGACACCCTATCCAGTACTGTAATCAACAGTATTGAAGTCTGTGGACACATGGCTGATAATTTGAATACCAGTTCTTAGTGGCAACTGCTATCCCCATCTGTTTTCATGTGGCTCTGAATGACTTCATTTGATACTTATGCTCACTGTTTCCTTGTATGCGTTGGAATGCAGCCCACTTCAGAAAACATGTAATTCAAATAACTTTCCCCAGTAAAGTGGGATCTTTTGAAGCATTCTTGTTTTGTTTTTTTTTTTTTTCCTCCTTCAAATCCCTTACAGCCAGCCAGTCAGTTATGAAGAACCTGTGTAATATCAGAGAGAGCTGTAGAGCAGGGAAGTCTTCGATCTCTTCCTTATAAATATGAAGGGATTGCTCTTCAGCACCAGTTTCTGAAGTTGTAATGAGAGTAGAGGGAATGGTAGAGAAGATAAAGCTTTGAGAGTATTTACCAGATACATGGAAAATGTAGAGTGGAGCTCTGCTTAGCCTTTTGTTGCTTCCGGGATTATCTTGTCCATAGATTTTTGAGAACAAAAAATTGGTTGCTGTGAGTTGTCTGAGTAAGTTTGGCCATTTCTGCTCCAAGCTAGCTGTGATGTGGAGATGACTTCTACTTTAAAAATCTTATATATCCAATAGTATGTATAGAAGCCAGGCACTAGTGTGGTCCAGTCATGAGTCACCCTCCTCCTGCTGTAAAGGAGCACAGATGAAACTGATTTCTTTCCAGAGCAATGCTGTTCACTTTTTCCAGCCTGGAAACTTAAGATTGACAATTCAGAGCTAAAAATAATCTGGCTGGCTACAGGGAGTGACTCAGACACAACAAGCAAGCCTGCCCTCTCACCACTTCCAAAAAGCCCTGTTGGCTTTTCAGCATGAGTAGCAGAAGCAGGTGGGCAACTAGTCTGAATTTTCATCTCTTTCCATCCAGTTGTCCTGCCTCCTGTTGGCACAACTAAAATAATCAAGAGCTAGTCTCCGCTCTGAAATAATTCCTGGGGGGGGGGTTCTTCCTTCTCTAGGAAAATGCTCTCTGACACTGCAGGTAGAGTGTTGGCATACCAGTCCAACAACAGATTTCTTCTGCCTGTGCTGGATATGAAGCACAAACTATAGCATCCCCCTTGCTGGAGTGGTGAGTCATTGTGCCTGTTAGCTTTGGAACAATAAGACTGACTGCAAGGTCTACAAGAGGAAATCTTGACTACATCTGGTGCTATGCTGCTGTCATAGTTGTAGCAGCTCAGACTGCTCAGCTGCTGTGAAATTAGATCAGTGTACACACAAGCAAGTAAATCAGAATGCACATGGAATCATATAGTTATTGCTATATAAGTGAAATATAATAGAGCCTGGACTTTATATGAGTACAGAAACAAGCTAAGCAAAGTCATTGCTGAAAGCTTGACTCTAAGCAAGCTCTAAATACTTGGGACAGTGGTTTGAGCAGGTGATGTTCTTGCCCTGGTCCAAAAAAGGGGCTTGCTGTTTATAGTCCAAAGCTGATCCACTCGATGGCTTGGTTTGCTTGGTAACTCCAATAACAACAATAGAACACAAACCTTGGAGTGACTTTCTTGCCAGGCCTGGCTCTTCTTCCTGCAAGACCTTTATCCCATACTCCAGTTCCTTCTGCCTCTCAGGCATGCTTGCTTGGGACTAGGCTCACATCTGTTGTGCTGATGGTAGTCAGGTCCTTCTACATGGTCATTAAACTTTGCAGGGAGTAAACCAATAAGGTTTATTCAGAAATAAGAAATAGCGAAGTAACTTCCTTTACTCAGTCTTCCCCTACCTTTCCCTTTGTGAATCTAAGCAAGATAATATTAAAAGCTAGTTCATCTGAAGGCCTAGGCTGAGCCTGGTTTTGGTCATGTGTAGGGAAAAGATCAATCCCTTGGGCAACTGGTTGTTGGCTCTATCTACTTTTGGGATTTGCTAACTCTGGGTCAGAGATCAAGTGAATGTGTTGATTGCACAGGTAGGAGGGGTCCTGGTGGGAAGTGCTTCTGTTGATGAGGGTTTTTTTTTTCCCATCTTTCCAGATTTCTCAGTCCCTTGAATATGCTTATTGGCGGTACTGTGGTGGTGCTGGTGTTCATGGGGTTTGTGTGGGTATCGCACAACAAGGATATACTCCGCAGACTGAAGAAGCAGTACCCAACCACATTTGTAGTGGTCATCATGCTGTCTAGCTACTTCTTGATCTCCTATCTGGGAGATGTCATGGTGTTCATGTTTGGGATCACGCTTCCTCTCCTCTGTAAGTATTTTTCCTCTTCTCTGGGGGGCTAGGGGTGTGTGACTTGAGCTCTCTCAAATAAGTCTGCAGAGTCTTAATTGGCTGTTGCCTTTACTATCTCTAGTTAAAATGATCCCAAAACAAAACTGGGGGGGAGGGTACACAAAACAACATAAGCCATCTTTAATGTTATTATTAAATGGATACCTCTGGTTATTGAAGCAGTCATTGAGATTTCATCTTCCAGTGATGTCATGGTGTTGGAGTGTGGCTTAAGATGAATGCTGCAAGAACTATGCATTCCTTAGGCATTAACAATTAATAAGTGTGTTTCTGTCACGCAGTGATGTTTGTCCATGCTTCTCTGAGGCTCCGGAACATAAAGAACAAGCTGGAGAACAAGATGGAAGGAATAGGCTTGAAGAAGACCCCGATGGGCATCATACTGGATGCTCTAGAACAGCAAGAGGATAGTATCAACAAACTGGCTGACTACATATCTAAAGTGAAGGAGTAAGCAGCTGCAACGTGGCATTTTTACCTGTTGCAGGAGCGTAGTTGCTATTTACTATTGTTCAAGCTTGCTTTCAGTTTGTGTTCAAAATAGGAAATTCACGTGGTACAGCGTAATAGTTGCAGGATACAGGTATTCCAAGGTCTTCAGGGGTCCTTTGAGAACATAAGAGCAGCAACTTCTTTTTTTCTATTGTATAGCAAAATGTTCTGGTGTTTACACAAATACATACTAACTTAAACATGTTTGCTTGTCTCTTCTTCTGGGGGTAGAAGAGGAAGAGATGGAAATCTATGGAATGCAGTCTCTCAAACTGTCTTGTAGCAAACTTGTCTATTAGTAAGAGTAACACCCCTTTCACCTGAGTTCTACAAGATGGCAGTTTTGCAAGTTTATGCTGGGTAGCACCTCCAGGCTGGCAATAGTCAAGGTGAGCTGGGATGTATCAGAAGAAGGTCTCTCTTGCATCCTCCAGGTCTCTCACTTGAGTGGTCTGTATTGAGACCATGTTGCTAGCTTAACAGGGAAGCAGTAAAACTGCAATACTTGTAACAAATATGGGTTCCTGTTCTGACCTCACATTCCTCCTTTAGCAGCCAGGAACCAGTCTAAATCTAAGCATGAAGAATATATATGGCACTGTTCCTCTGTGAGTTCCAGTGAACTGCACCCTTGGACTCTCCAAAATCTTGATGCATAGAAACTGCTCCTCTTGGCAGGAGAGCCAGACTTCCTTGTGTACCACCTAAATTATGGCCAAGCATGGGAGGAAAAAAAAAAAAGCTTTTCAGATGCATTGGAGGAGCTAGGTTTCTTGATGGTTTTTAAATACTGCTCCTTTAGGACTTGCCTTGTTCTGCTTTAGTCTGTATAGGCTGTTTTGTAGATGGAGGTGTATGTGTGTTCTCAAGTGTGGCTCATCTTTTTCTTTCTTCTTAACCAGAACACAAAGATATAAGTAACACATGCATCTCACCAACTCTGTACTTCTGATGCTCTTCAATGGAATAAACTGGATTTCAGGTTTACAAGTAAAAGCAATAAATGTTAAGATACAGTTTTTGAAAACCCATTCCAAATTCATGAAGATATTTACCTGTAACAAATCCTGAAAGTCATGTGGGGGATTCTTTTATATATATTTTAACTTAACTGCCAGCTCTGATGGAATTATCTTGATAACAGGAGCTTACCAACAATAAGGGGGAGAAAAGTTGTCCAGGTGACACTCAAGTTCAAATATTCTTGCATTTCTCTTTTCTAATGAAGTAATTAATTTAACAATAAAGCAAGGCTCCTTAAAGTTGAAGCTTTTATGTAACTTGCCATGCTGTTTCATAGTGAACTGTGTAGAAATCTGAACACGTCATTCCATTTAAGTGTTAAAGTGATCAGTATTTATTGAAAATGTCTGTATATTCCAGCTGAAGAGTTAATGGCCTGTTCCTCACTTGTAGTGCATGGTCTTTGTTTTTTGAAAACTCTTTCCACACTTAAAGAACATAATAGCCTATGACTTCATCATTACTGTAGAATTTTAAAAACTGCACAGTTATGAAGAAAAATAAATTCTAATGGTGATTTCCAAGTGCATTTATTTCAGGTTGGGAAGAGTGGTTGAAAACTTGAGTTTGTTTCTATGATTGGTGGAACTTCCTAGAGTGGTGGTGGGACATCTATTGTCATGCTGCAGCTTGTGCCACAAGCCCACGCTTCTGATGTGCTGCTGTCTATGAATTCTCAGTAGCTGTTTGTTTTAATATTGTTGATGCATGAGGGACCTCTGAGCTGCAGGAATGTTACAGCCTTGCTGTTGCATCCTTACAAAGGCTTCTCTGCAGAGACATTTCTCATGCTGTTTCAGTCTCTTATATAACTCCACTTAACTGGGATTTTAAATGTCTTTTAATTACCTGAGAGGGATTTCTGCTTCTAAGATTACTGGGATCTGTGCCTTCAGCAGGGCTAGGAAGCCAACTCTGCTGCAGTCAGACTACTAGTGTGGTTTCTGTATCCAGCTGCTTCCCACCTCCTGTGATAACTCACAAGGTTGCTCAGGAGGAGAACCATAGATTATGCTGAATATACCCTGGTAATATGTGTCAACTGAGGGGTAGGGCAGTAATTTGTACCTGGAAGCTTGACTTGTAGATTGTAAACCACTCATTTTCCTCTGTAACTCCCTGTCCTAATGCTGAAGTCTTACAGGTGCACAAGGCTGGCCTTGAAGTCAGTACTGAGAGCAGCAAGCCCCAAGAGCTTCCTAGGGCAGGTGCTTTTTGCACTTGCTGCCATGCTCCATGTGAGGGCTTGGTTAAAAGTTCCAAATTCCTCCCCCTTTTCTACTTCTTGTCCTTTACAAGAAGGGGGCTGTATGAAACAGGTGCCATAAAAACATTACTTTTTTTTTCTGTCTCTGCCATGCAGAAATGGCTCTCCTCTTCCCTTTACATGCTGCTTAAAAACTACTTGCAATGTCTTGGCCAATACATCAGCCAGGTTTCCCAAGTCTGCTGCATTACAGTTGCAAACAGAAGTACAGCTGAGAAGGAGCTCTACAAGTTTGGAAGATGGAGATTTGAAAGAGACCAGGTGATAGATACAAAAAGGGGCAAGGATAAATGAAAACTTGAACTAGTGATGGTGGAGACTACCTTGGATTCAAAGAGCTCCTGGACATTGCTGATACTACAGGACTATTATAATAAATGTGGGGAGAGGGAGTGGGATGGGACTGGGATTTATCTGCCACGGAAGGTTGCTAAGAGTTACAGGCAGAAGCAAGGAGAGACTCACCTGAAGGAAATCCTGCCAGGAGCTGCAAAGCTGCCTGTGCCTTTTGAGCACAGGGCTCAGCCACAGGACAGCAGGGGAGCTGCATGTTAGCAAAGGGAAAGGCCTTGTTCTTTCACTATGCCTTATAACTTTAAATGGCTTTAAAACAAACAAAAAACCCCAAACCCAACTGATCTCTTGTGGATGTCTTCCACAAGAGTGTGACTTACCTGTAGCTGCTTTACAAAAAAGGCTTGCAACAAAAAAACAATTAAAAAAACCCTAACATGATTAAAAAAGAGGAGGAAAAGAAATCACAAAAATATTAAGGGAAAAACTAAGTTGTGTATATGCAGGTTTAACCCCATCATATCCAGCCCTGGTAGGGGTGAGACATGCTTATTCACACCCCTTACTAGGAGGAATGATGAGTTTCTTAAACCCCTGGCAAAGAGAGGGTCAAGGCTCATCATCATGCCACTTAGGAGCTGTGCAGAGAGCAACCTGAAATGGCATTTCGGTGCCCACCAAGGTGGCTGTCGTTAATAATTACATCATGGACAAAGGTCAATTGTGGGGATTGAAGTTTTACAGCTCTCGAAGCAGAGTGTGGGCATTGTCTTTTGTATGCTGATCAGGTACAATACCAACTAGACTATGTTTTGAAATAGAGGTAGCTTGAAACCATCAAGCAGAGGTGTTTGATGTACCAGAGCAGTCGTTCTGTTGGCATCTCGTTAGCCATGGAAGTGCTGCACACACCTTATGGAGAGAGCTTTATTTCATTTCTGTTTCCTTAGCCTAAAAAATGAAGCTGTATACATGGAAACCAAATACATTTCTCATGGACAAGAGAATAATAAAGGAGCATGTGTGTGAAAAGAAAGATAAGATAAAGCACAGCATGTTCCTGCAGAATCTGGCAGCAGAAGGACAACGTGGAAGTAAAATAATTTGCTGACAAACTAGAAAGACAAGGTTATTGATGCCTCTGAGAAAATACTCCCACAACAAACTGGAGCCTCAAATCCACTTGGCAGACAGATGGCACGAGGATTGTTTGATACCTGATGGAAACACTCAGCTCTGACTATTCCCATGCCAGCCGTTTTCACCACACTTACAAGAGTGCGTATTGCAAGCTTTGTTCCCAAAGAGTCATATATACCACCTGGGCTCTGCAGAAAACATCTGCTGAAACAGTTGTAAGCAAAACTTGAATAGTCTTTATTCCAAGTTGTTCTCTTCGGGTCAGTCTGGTCTCTCACTCCAGCTGCTTTGGCAATGGCACCTGGACAAGGACAGTGAGTATTAGGAGGAGGAAGTTTCTCAGTCTTATTTCCCAAACCCATTTAGTTTAACACAAACCTTCAGAAACAGTAAAAAGCTCAAAATACAACAGCTGGGAGCTCCAAGGAGCTCTGGTTGGGAATTTCTTTTGTTTGTAATTCCCCACTTGCTGTTTGCGATTCTTCATGACCAGGAAATCAATTTGCAAGCCGTGAGTCCCACTGCAGAGCAAACATGCAGCTTGGCTCAAGAAGTAAAACCTGATTTTAGAGATGAAGCTGAGGGTATTGAGGCAAATAAGGAGTTACCAAGATCACACAGGCAGGTGAGAATAAAACTTTAATGCCTCAAATCCAAAGTCTTTGGCCCAATGACAGCAGACCAAAGAAAACCCCAAAAAACAACCTCAAACCCCCAAAACGTGTCCATTGCTGCACCTTTCCATGGGCTGCAATAGCAATGGTTATCTGGCCCATTTAGGATGGACCATGAATTGATCCCTCCACCCCACAGCCCTCATTTATAAAAACCTCCTGAGGATTTTGGGGAGCAAGATCTGGGCTTCACTATTGCTCCCTAGCACCCGGCAGCACCTGCGTTTCTTAAACTGTGCAAAGTGAGGGCTGTGCCTGGCAGAGCACCAGTGCCATCGTCCTCCGTCTTCCTGAGAGGAGAGGAGGCAGCAGATCCGGCAGCAGTGACCGACCAACCTGCCATCACAAGCACCATCTTGGCGCGTATGGATAAACCGTGACCTTTACAAGCACAGGTCTGGAGCCTTAGACATGGTACTGAAATGCAAAACCTAGACTGAGATCTAGAAAGGCCAGAAATGCCGTGAGGAGAGGTCCTGGCTGCAGCCACGCCGGCCTGGCCAGCAGAAACCACAGCCCAGAACGTGGTCTGGGGGCAGAACAGTCACGTTAAATCTGGAGCAGGGTCACTGCAGGACCTGCACCTGCCAAAATTTCAGGACAAACTACTTTCTCTGGAATTACTGAGGGAATAATTACTTCTGTGTAGTTATAAATGAAATCAAAATGTGGCCCACTATATAAAAATGTCAATAGTAAACAAAATATGAATTACAAAATACTACTTCACCATTTTTAGTTGCAAAGGATTTCCTGTGCTCTTCCTCTAGCCTTAGCAAAACAAACAGATGCATCAACATCACTAGCTACAAATAGATCACTCAGCTTTTAGTATTTCTTGAATAACGGTACAAAGGAAAGAAATGTAACATTTCAGGAAAGCAAAAGGTTAAATCTGGTGGCCAGCATTTCAAGAAGTGACCCATGAATTCAGTACCCAACTAAAAGCATCACCAAGAGACAATTATCACAGCTTGGGACTTCCCCCTCACACTAAAGCTTTTAATTTCATTTAAACCAGACCAACCGAAGGCAGCCCCAGACCACGACTGTACCACAGACCCTTCTCACTCCGGCGGGTTTGTGGCAGCGCTGAAGGATCACGGTTACTCACCCCGGCCAGCCCGGGGCACCCACCGCAGGGCCAGGGGAGCGTGGCCAGCACCTGACTGGAAATCCATTTCCTGCCTCTGTGCAGTTTCTTAAGTGACCTTGGGTAAGTTATTTTGCTGCCAGTGTTTCAGTTTACCCATTATCACGTGGGCCAAGTGATAGTGCTTTCTTGTGTAAAGTGAGAGAGAAAGAAAACCAGGGCTGCTGGAGAGAGCAACATGGTTTTTGTGGGGGACTGAGGACAGACTAAGGTGAAAAATAATATCTGTTGCTCTCCTGAAGCAAACATCTTATAATAGCATTTTTCTATCATAACTCATACGTTATTACTGGTATGCCGGCGTTGAGTTCCTGTAGTTTGATGTACCTCCTGAGTGAATTTCTTCCACCTGTATGGATGCAGCCAGGGACGCACGAGGCTGCAGCCTCTGGAGCGCGCTGGGTGAATGCGATTCCCTCCCCTCGCAGCCATCACTAAGCACTTACCGGTTTAAGATAAGCGACATTACTCTGGCGAATGTCGTTTAGTAGCTGATCTCTCGGGGTTATTTCGACGAGTGGAGGTGGCCTTCTCCTGGGAACTGGTTTAAGCGTTTTGATGACATCTTTGAGGTTAGTTTTCTCAGCGGGTTCCACGTACTCCGGCACGGCGGGTTTGCGCTGAGTCTTCTTCAGCTTGATCACTCTGAAGCTGACGGGCTTCTCTCTGCAGGACTGCTCGGGGGCCGGCTGCCTTGTGCTCTCCTGCCGCCTTGTGCTCTCCTGCCTTTTGCTCAGAGACACAGCTGCGGGGACGGGTGGTTTTGGGGCTTGCGGGGGTTCACGCATCCCCGGCTGGGGCAGCGGTCCCCCCAGCATTTCCCACATCCCGGGAGGCAACCCGAGTCCATTTTCCAGCATCGCTATCAACTCCCTCTGCTCTTTCATTTGCTGCTGCCTTTGCTCCTCTTGCCTCTTCTGCCTCTGCTTGTCCAGGTTTCTGCTGAGCAGGTTGGTCACCACTATCCTGGGCCCTGGCAGTTCGAAGTGATACCCCAGTTTAAGGAGGGTGGGGTTGGCTTTCAGCAGCCTGGCGATCTCCATTTCTGCCTGGTGGCCCAGCATGCTCCGCTGGTTGTGAAAGCGGAGCTCCGTCAGCGTCTCGTTGTACTGCAGGCATCTCATGATAGCAACGATCCCTTTGCCAGAGATGAAATTGGAATCGATGTTCAACGTGGTGATGCTCCTGTTCTCCCGCAGCATGTTGGCCAGCGCGAATGCCACGTTGTCGTCGGCCCCCACGTTGGCCAAGCTGAACGTTTTTATATTCTTATTCTTTTTCATGGCATTGACAAAGTCTATCAGCATTTCTTTGGGGACGTTTTCTATGTTGTTCAGGTTGAGCTCTTTCATGTCTGGGTTGTTTTTTCGGACTTTCTCCAAACTCTCTTCTAGGTTGGTTTGATTTCCTGAAGGCCTGGCACTTAGCTTCATGAAGCTGGTATCCAGTGCTAACTTTTTCGGGATGTTTAATTTTGATATTTTCTTCTCATTTTCATTTGGCTTTTCTGTGATTTCTCCTGATTCTGTACTTGGTTTCTTATTTATCTGATCACTGTGACGGTTCTCATTGGTGTAAATCTCCTTTGTTTCCAATTCAGTCTCATCCTCCTCTTCATCCTCCTCTTCATCATCTTCCTCTTCCTCCTCTGCTTCTTCTTCCTTCTCCTCCTCTTTTACCACTTCCATCTTTCTTTGTCTCCCCAAACTGTGTTCCTGAGTTGGACAAGTGCTCATTTTTGTAATGTCTCTCTTTTCCTTCTGCTCCTGGCGCCCTCCCGCTGCCACCAGCCTTCCCTTCCGTCTGCTCCGCAGCGCTTCTCTGAGGAAGACAAAACCCCACAGCTGAAATAATTGAACGCAGCTTTGTTACATTCACTTTCTGCTCAAATAAACATGTAGCGGCTGCATTTAGATATCTCTATGCCCATACATTATAGCATAATCCTTAAAAGTGTCATTGCCTGTAAGTCAGGGCTGTGCTGGCTTGCTTGGGAACACAGGAACAATTGCTCTTAAAGTGGCTGCAAACCAGTTTCTCATCTTTGCCTATTAAAATAAATTCTGACAATTAAATCCCGTACATAGTTACTGTTAAGGTGGTCCTTGAATCCTTCCGGGGGTTAACAGTGTCTGATCCAAAGCCTGTTTCTGGATTTTGTGTAAATTTTATCGCTTCCTTGACAAGAGAGGATTTGTTTCGTACGCCACAAAACTTTGGAAGTCGGTGTTAACCGCTGACTTTGCTCAGCCCAAGGAGGAGTGGAGAGGGCACATCGTAACAACAGTGGAGTCACCCAGCACAGGAGACAACACCACCACCCGCTCTGGTACCTGCCAGAGCATCCCGGCTAAGGAAGCACATCACTGAAGATAAAGCAATATATTAGCTCAGTTATATTCTGAGTCTAGAGATAGGAAAATGGGCTCTGCACACAGCTGCTGCAAGGCAGCAGGGCTTCCAGCATCAAAATAAAATTACTTGCAAACTTCCACCATCTCCAGAGACTGAGATTTCTTTTCCAAGCATCTTTTTTGAAGTGGATCCTCCATCACGGAGAAATACTCATAAAGCCCTAATAAAGATCACAATATTTTCCTAAAAGATTTGCACTAGTTCAGGCAGGGCAGTGTCACGGCTTGTGCTTCACCAGAAGTGAGACAAAACGATCACAAAGTCACTTCTGCCCTCAGGGCTGGGGTTCCTATTTGCTGTGGTAGTGGACGGGTTTAGCACGGGGATCGCCTGACCAGTTGTGAGTACAGCAGGCAGCTCTACACTCAAATTCCAGATTTAAGCACAGAAGTGTTTAAAAAAATTGTTTCTTTGAGGGTATGAGAGTTGCAGGAGGGAAAAACCCCACAGAGTTTCCTCCCTCAGCCCATGAAACCTGCCCTGGGAAGTCCATGCTCTGGTGTATTAGAAAAACCACTAGTGATTTTAAAAAAAAAATAATAATCAGTTACCTCAAATTCACTTGGGTTCAGGTATGGATGTGTTTAATCTGGCCAAGTTTCCATTCTATTAGCCTATTTTTAAGTGTGGCCCTCATCCTGAAAAATATCTAAGTATGACCTTTACTTTATTTCAAAGTCATAAGGATAGTAGAATAAATTTAAGTACTGTACTGAAAAGGGTTGGACTAGTTCATGGAGTTTGCAGGCTTGGTTGTTAGTGAATATTTCACATTGTTAAAATGCAGTGGTTTGGGGTTTTGTCCAGTATGACATTAATTTCTGTCAATTAATTCGTTAACACATATGATTAATGTAGTCTTCTATGGAGAAGCGATACAGTGTTGCTCCATACGCAAAGTCAAACAAATTTGAGTTATATCCTCCAAGCTGATTTTATGACAATTTCTCAGGGATTTGCTTTACTGAAAGAGAATTAGGATTTTTCTTATATTAAAAAGTTTAACTAAATATTTAGGAAAAGCAATTAAAAAATTACTAACCCTGATGTCAGTCCAAGCTGGATCCTGACATTGCTGAGGCTTTTAGGATGAATTTATATTTGTTTGTACCGTACCTTCCATAAAGGACGAAAGCAGAGGCAGATTAAAGTATTAAAGCCATAAAACAGATCCCACAGCAGATGCATAATAAATATTTGTGATTTTTTGCTTGTTACCTCAGAGGGCAAGAGGGTGACGGGAACTCTCTCGTCCTCGAGCATGCGTCTGGATGCCTTCTGCCAGTACAGGTAGTCAACCAGGGACCTGTGGTCGAAGCTCCCCGTGGGGGCTTTTTCAGTCTGATCCCTCTGTATCATCCCAGTTGGGACTTCGGGGTCTGGGGCCATGACTTCCATCTCACACTGCAGCTCCTTTAGCTCCTCGGGGGACAGGTTTGCCAGGATTTCATCTTCATCGATGTCCTCAGGACACACTTCTTCATCAGAGTTTTGGCTGAGTTCAGACATGTTCTTTCTTCTCTCCTTTCTCTATTACTTTTTAAACCTAAAGAGAAAGATAAATTTTAAAGGATTTTTTTTTTTCCTCCCCCACTAGCAGTAGTTCATTCGGTTAAATAGACAACTTCATGTTTTGGTCATGAGCTGTGGCAGCTCTCGGTCTCAGTGTGGGAGACAGACTGTGCAGCTAAGTCTATATTAAGCTGCACTTGGCTGGATAAAGAGAATTTATGGCGATGCTGCCACGGTCCATTTTCAGCAACCTGTCAGCTGTGCAAACTCTTCTGACATTTCAGTGCAGCTGGTGCGTCCCCCATTGAGCAGGGCAGGAGATGGCCATTTTCTAGAGGATTCCAGGGACACCAGGCCTTCCAGTGCTGCACCCCGAGGTGAATGGAGCGACATTAGTGGTACCTGCGAGGCGTGCGGGTGAAATTCTGCACCATGGGAACAATCAGCACACGGTGTCTGTATCCGTAATGCCTCAGGTATCTCAAAAGGGCCGGGGACTGCAGGGTCTTTGCTGCCTGCAGCCAGGTCTAAAGCCCGACGGAATATTGCGGGTGGTCTGGGTGGGAGCGCAGCCATCGCGCAGTTGACGAGCTCTCCCAGATCCTGCTTAAGGTAAAATCCTCCAAGCTGGACAAAGTCAGTACTGAAAACAGTCGGTACAACACGCACCTTGTGCACCAACCCTTTGAAGCGGCCCGGGTGGTCCCACAGGGATATTTCCCCAGAGCACCTCCATGCCCTGCTCCCACCCAGCCAGCGTGCCCGGAGGCAATGCCAGTGCCTTGTTTCTTGCCTAGCCTGCCACCGTCATGGGAGTTATTTGCACTGTCAACAGATCTTGGCTGACAGTTCATCTCAGGTTCATCCTTTTCCTACTTTTTACCATTTTTTTTTATTTTTTTTTTTTTTACAGAATGAATAAGCAACTTCAATGATTTACTTTGCTAATATTCATAGAACTGATGTAACCATAGAAGATTACCTGAAATCCTTTTTTTCATTAAGTGCCCATTCCAGCTAGGAAGTACCACCTCCTTTGTTCAGGGTATTTTATAGACTTGTAAATGTACATGGCTAACTAGAAAAATGTATCTCCAACACCAAACTGTATCTCTGTGTAAAGGCAGAGTAGCACGGGTGGGAAATTTTTCCACTACAGTCCAATTTCAGTACACCACAGTTTGGACTGTTCATTTGACTAGGAAAATTTCCTCTCATAATTTCAAATATTGTTGGCAGAGGGTGTCGAATCAAATCCTCACCTTGCAACTGTGAATGTGTCTTTCATAGGAAAGAAACCACAGACAAGAGGCTGTGAAACCAAGCCCCACCAATTTTTGAGCCATATTTCTCGTTACAGTCTCAACCATGCTCTGCTGGAGTCTGCCAGCAGCAAAATAGTCTCTGCATGACAACGGTCTCTTTGCTGTGTTTTGTAACAAGAAACACGGTGTTCAAGGCCCCCTTAACCTCTATTAAAAAGCCATAAACCAAAGGTCCTCATGTAATTAATGCTGTTACACAGCAGGGAAGGGGGCAAATATTTAAGAACGAAATAAGCCGTAAAGGAAAAAAAATAACAAAAATCCAAGCCAAAAACGTAATGGCTCTGGTTGCTCCTTAGGTATTTCAGGGAACATCCTTATTTTATATTATGCAGTAGCAAGCACAACAGCAGACCCACACATCAATCTATCTGGTCTAGCAGTTTTAACCCCCAGCGATTGCTGTCCATAATAGAGTCCATAAATGGTTTCCCGATGTTATCAAATAAATCAATGCTCTTCGGTAGCTGGTATGTTATTCTCCCAAACGATGCTGTTTGGGTCACAGAAGCTGTCTATTCAGTGGTTACTTATCGCTTGCTAATTTCTTGACTGTAAATAAAGCCCTTGGCCATCTTATATTTCCATGATCTTCAGCCAGGCCATCTTGGGCCATGGTCTTATCAGATCTGCTAAGTTAAGTAGGGTCAAACCCATGAAGTCCTCTCGAGAAGGAAAACAGGGATACTGAGAACACTATCAGGTATTTGAAAAGCAAGTTTTCTTCCAAGCAGAAATACATCACTTGTAGATACCACTATTAGGAAACGCTATCCTTCTGAGAACCACGACTTCTCCGTCAGACACAGAGCAAAGGGCTGCCCGGTGACACCTCTCCTGGTGACACGGGTGCTAATCCCACAGATTTCCAAGATGGGTATCACATTTTGCCTACTTTAGGTCTCCTCCATAAATTACCTCGAGTACAGGATTCACTTCCTTTTCTAACAGGTTGCTTAGTGTTTTGGTGTGCTGGAAACGGCACGTTAAGGCAACAAACAACACCCCCAGGCTGGGGGCACACTTATGGCCAAATCTAGAAGTCTTTTCAGAGGCAAAACTCCCATCATCTTCCCCGATAACGTTTGCAGGTATTCCCCGTAGAGCTTTCCAAAATAACCGCTCATTCCTCAACCTTCATTAAGACAGGAAAGCCACTTCCATCAGTAGCACTTGCTATTTTCATGCCAGTTTGACACTTGCTCAGGAATCCCCGGACTAATAAGCTGCTGCACGAGGTGCTGTGTTACCGAACGGCAGAGCTGTGCCAGCAGCTACGCTCAAAGCACGAGCGGAAGACAAGAGGTACCTGCAGCGATCCCTACGGGTAGCAGCTCAAAATTCATGCTAAGCAGGTACCTAACAAGTGTTAAATAAAAGCACTTTAGGAGCAAACTGGTAGAAGAAAAGGTCTGCCCTTGGAAATGAACAATTTGTACTTAGAGCTTACTGTTCCTGAGGCAGGTACTCACGTATGGATGAACTCTTGCATGAAACCCAGCAGGCTCTCGTGCAGGATGGTTTAACGTCATTGATTTTTCTCATTTGTGCATTTTCTTTGAAAATTCCAACCTATCTCTCTTGAAAGCAAACGGGTCGACGAGTTTTTAACTCAAATATCAAGAGGGGCCGACTCCCGTGTCGCCATTTGGTGCAAGGCAGGCCACCAAACCACGCTACAAGTGCCTAAAAAGCGTTCTATTTTTAAGGTAATTGACAGGACACACGCTGATGCCAAATGCTTGAAAGCAATTTCTACAACGTTGGCTGTAATATTTTTTTTGCTTATAAACCCCACACATTTATTTACCTTTATTACCAATCCATGGTATTTCCAAGTGCCAGGGCATTAACTGGAACAAGTTGGAGTGTAACATAACCTTGCATCATTTTTAAGAAACTCGTAGGCTTGATGGGGCAGTCTAAAATTGACAAACAGTAGCATACACCAAGTATGTCCAGCAATGCGGTGTAACGCAATATGGGGATTATAAAGGGTCAGATGATGGGCTCTTAACAATAACAACCACTGAGTAACGAGAGCAATCGTAGAGAGACACCCTGTGGGAAAAACACCAGGGATCATCTGGGGGAAAAAAACAACCCAGACCTCCGAACTGCTACAGATATAAATATATCAGATTAAGTTTGTTGCTTAAATAGAGTAAAGGACATCTGACTTTGGAGATATTCACCCAAGTCGCTTGACAGGGAGCTGCAAAGTCGAGTCCCCGTGCGAAGCGGCAGGCGTGGTGGTGGCTGGTGTGGGGACGGGGCGGTGCAGCGGGGATGGGGAGGGGGGCAGCCCCTCACCCCTGCAGTCAACAAATCACCGCATCTCACTGCGTCAAGGTCTGGCAGTTTCCTTCGCCTCTGAGAGAAGTGAGTGGAGCTGCATCTCCTGTTTCAGACGGACATGGGTGCCTCTAATTTGCCCCCAAAAAAGAACATAGTGATTTTTTTTTTTAGTTTCCATTTTCAGAGGAGTCTGAGAGCAGCCACAGTGGGTCCTCTGTCGTCATTCACACTTCTATTATGGGGAAAAGAAAACATTAAAACGTGTA